TTTGGAATGGTTAAGATGTTGGTTACTATTATTTTTCTATTTCTCAGAAAATACTCTTCATACATAGCTGTGTGACCTGGTGTATCTTCTTGGCAGGCAGGGGCTCTGTGCATCCTGATTAGGGATGCTCCAGAAATAGACCACAAGCACCTGGCAAGGCAGAAGACAAGTACATGTGAATTTATAACGCATGCACTTCTCATGCACTCTCGCAGATTTATTTTAAATAATTCCCCATGAATATGGAAGACGCATCCCTTTGGACCCCCCAAAGGCTGCGAAGCTGCGAGACAGGAGGAGGCCCTTCTCTCTCGGAAGCTGTGAGTGGCTCTGTGGTCGAGCAGGGCTCTCACGGGTGCATGGTGGAAGACGAGAGCTCACGTCCCAGCCCTGGGCTGCCTGCCAGCAGGCAGCGGGCGCCCGGCAGGGTGGGAAGGGGCAGCCCAACATGCCAGCCGCTCCGCAGGAAGCCCCTTTGCGGGCAGGCTGCCTGCAGAAGCGTGCTGCCCTGGGACTAGGGGGAGCAGCGGTCACACTGCCCACCCGGGAACGGGGAGCCCGCGGAGGCTGCTTCAGTCTAACCTCAGCCTCCTGCACCGTGCCACAGCCCCCCGTGGGCAAATCCCACCAGCCGTAAAAGCAGTGGGGCTCTGCCATTCTTCCCTAAAGGACAGTGCACAAAAACACTCTTGCTCCAAACCCAGGGAACACGTGAAACCCTGCAAGTGTAGAGGTGGTGGGCTTTGGTCGTTTCCGCAGCACAAAGCTCAGTGCGTACAGAGCCTCTTTATTCTGACTTGCACCACCTCCAGAGGACAGCTCTGGTTCACACCCAGCCTGACCTGCCTTCAGAGCTGCCTCAGCAGAGCTCACTCTACAGAAAGGTCAGCTCTACATCATTGGGGTGTGCATCTCATGGAGGGAAAGATGCAAAGGAGCCAAAGATATGTATGCTCTGAAAGGCTTGTTTAATGGAGAGGGCTACTCTTTTTTGCTTATATTTCCCCCTCTTTTCTTTCCCTGCGTCACCCATGTCAGAGCCAGAAAGAAAAGGAGCCTGTGTCCTTTCCAGAAATGAATTATCTCTTTGTCTTTTCCATTAATTTTGCATTTGAGAAGGATTCCATTGTTTTTCTGGTAACTTTTTCTCTTGAGCTTCCTGTAATGTCTCTTGACTGAATAATAATGAGACAGTTCAGTTAACTGAATCAAATGATAAACAAAACCAAGTCTGATACTAACACCTTTGTTTTTGAAGAAGGAAAATATAAGAAATTTTTCAAAAATGTTTTTTGAACTGAGCTTGATGGAGGGCTCTAAGATGTGAATTGATTTGAAGACACAGATTTAAACATCTGCGTTATTCTCTTGAACAAGAGGAGTGGGAAAAAAGTTACAGAACAAATTGAGAATTTATTTAGGAATTACCATCATAAGTTGCTGACTCCATGACCAGAGCTTTGAAAAGACTTAGAGAAAGAAAGTGGAGGCTAGAGAGAAAACAAAAAAAAAAGTGGGATGACACAGGTAAAAGTCAGGGAGTAGCAGAAATAAGTACCCTAAGAAACAGGAGAGGCCATTTACACTTACAAGTCATACTGAAGGAAAACACGGTCAAGAGGTTAACAGTGTCACCAGGGCTGAGAGCAAGTGCTAAGCAGGACACCAAGTTTGGGCTTTGCTTGAGGAGAGGGAGCATGAGAAGGTGGTTTGCTCTTTGGTTAGAGTGTCTTGTGGTGCTCTGTACGAACAAGCTTTCGCAAGTATGCTAAGCTCTGACAGTACAGCTATTCATTCTGAATGAAAGAAATGGCAAAATAAAGGATTAACAAGATGTATACTGATCTATCCTCCTTCCCATTCTTCTTGCTCCTAAAAAATCCCCAAACAATCCAACATAAAAAACCTCCACCATTTTACTAATAGTTTGAGCCAACTTCTTATAACAAGACTGTAACCGTATTACTGCTCTGCTTAGCAGTTGAAATAGTAGTAAAATCCTGAAACACTTTGACAGAATGAGCGTCTCCTCTTTAATTTTTAACATTTTCTTTCTGAAAGCCTTTTAGTATTTAGCTCTTTACTGATATTCTCCCTTGACAGTCTTGCACTTAAAGCAGTTAATCAAAGCACGTGACATTTTTAAATGGTAAGTTCTTGTGCTCTAAAACTGCTGTGCATAATGAGCTTAATGTGCTCCATAAAAATGCATACAACACCTAATTTAAAAGAAGTGTTTAGACTGATGACCATAGGAAAAGTTAGGAATGTTGGAAGTGAGGCTTTGGTACTTAAAGTGCCTCCCTTTTGCACATAGGCAGAAATCACAAAATGTATCACAGAGGTGGAATAGAACAAAACATACCAGAACTAGAAGATTAAAATGAAAAGACTGTACCCTTGTATTTATTCTGCAATTTGTATTTTGTAGTACGTTAATAGAACCAACCTAAGAAATATTGCTCCAGTAAAACATAAGAAATAAAGGAAATAGGGCAAAACAAATAAGAAATAAGGCAAAACAACTGAAAAGGTGACAAAGTGGAAATTGAAAATGCTTCAGAACAAATTTATTTCAATACAAGACAAAATAAGCAACATCAAAAAAAGATTTTAAAAACTGCAACAAATTTATATGAGAAAGGTTTCAAGGAAGGCTTCAATGAATTGAAAAAGGTTTTGCAGAAACCATGTCAAGAAAATTAACTAGAAAACTTGGGATGCTTCCTTTAATTGGAGTGAATGTGCCAAAAGTAAGTATACCATCTTTTCTCTGCCAGGAGAAAACTGCTGAGGCAGCTCTGAAGGCAGGTCAGGCTGGGTGTGAACCAGAGCTGTCCTCTGGAGGTGGTGCAAGTCAGAATAAAGAGGCTCTGTACGCACTGAGCTTTGTGCTGCGGAAACGACCAAAGCCCACCACCTCTACACTTGCAGGGTTTCACGTGTTCCCTGGGTTTGGAGCAAGAGTGTTTTTGTGCACTGTCCTTTAGGGAAGAATGGCAGAGCCCCACTGCTTTTACGGCTGGTGGGATTTGCCCACGGGGGGCTGTGGCACGGTGCAGGAGGCTGAGGTTAGACTGAAGCAGCCTCCGCGGGCTCCCCGTTCCCGGGTGGGCAGTGTGACCGCTGCTCCCCCTAGTCCCAGGGCAGCACGCTTCTGCAGGCAGCCTGCCCGCAAAGGGGCTTCCTGCGGAGCGGCTGGCATGTTGGGCTGCCCCTTCCCACCCTGCCGGGCGCCCGCTGCCTGCTGGCAGGCAGCCCAGGGCTGGGACGTGAGCTCTCGTCTTCCACCATGCACCCGTGAGAGCCCTGCTCGACCACAGAGCCACTCACAGCTTCCGAGAGAGAAGGGCCTCCTCCTGTCTCGCAGCTTCGCAGCCTTTGGGGGGTCCAAAGGGATGCGTCTTCCATATTCATGGGGAATTATTTAAAATAAATCTGCGAGAGTGCATGAGAAGTGCATGCGTTATAAATTCACATGTACTTGTCTTCTGCCTTGCCAGGTGCTTGTGGTCTATTTCTGGAGCATCCCTAATCAGGATGCACAGAGCCCCTGCCTGCCAAGAAATACATCATGGTATTTTCATTTGCTGCTCTCCTGCAGGCTAGTGAGGCTGTTTCTTTCTACCTGTCAATTGCAAACTGGATATTTTGGTACTGAATCCAATGGAGTCTACACTGCAACCAATCAAAAACTTTTTTATAGATAAACTTGTAGTTCATATATGAGTGCTTATTTTCAGTTTAGGATTCACCTGTGTTTGATCATATTTTCATTGAAACACATACTATCCTTTTACAGTCTATGTAATGATGATTCGCCACATCCCGAAAAAGCTTTTCCAAAATGTTATATAATTTTAACTATTTAAAATTTTGTTTCCAGCTTGATGGAGTTTAACTTCTCATTTTGACTGACACTAGAAAATTACTTACTCCTGCAATGTCGACAGAAGGCAAAAGGATACATTTGTTATTCTAAAAAATGTGCATACTTTTTCTGCACAGCTTTGATAACTCAGTTACCACAGTGCTTCCCATAAAACTGATGTGATTCTACTGAAAACTTAATTCTCATTAAAATTTCTCAAAATAACCATGTGGAATTTTGTTTGAAAAAATTAAAGATTGAAATTTTTTTAAATGCCCCCTTTTTTTTTTTAGTAGACATTCCTCATGAGAGCAATGGAAGATACACCGCGGCTATTTTTGTTCTAGAAGTAGTTTCCTAGATATGCTCATTAGCAAACCCCACACACGAAAAACCAGTCAAGGTGTTTGCACCAGGACAGGAGTAAGTTATCCATTAGCAAGCTGTAATGGCTGCTAATGCGGAACTCTATACACCTGCATTCTCTCCTGCCCCTTCTAGAGTTTCTGGCTGTCCTGAAGAGCTGCTATCCAGTGCCACGCACTGCACAGGGTCATATTACCATTTTACGGGTACTGGGCTGCATTCAACTTTAACAACCTTGACTGCAAAAAACAAAAAAGCCCCTCCATGGGAAAGGAAGGCCTCTAACCCACCCGCAGCAGCGGAGGGGGATGAAAAGGACGTATCTGTCACAGCTCCTAGCTGCTCTTCACCCTCTGACTAGTGCTGCCTGCCCCCTCACCCCGACGCTCACAGCAAGGGTGCCTCATTCAGCTGTCAATCAATTCCTGAATCATTCAGCTGTCAATCAATTCCTGAATCACTGCATATTTCAGCCCTGCATATTCAGATAAACCAGAATCCAAGCCAGGTTTTTTTGAAGAATTATACCCCTGCACATAAACAAACACACAAGGCCAAGTGTTAAGTTCAAATAACGGCACACAAAATAAAAATTTAAAGCATTGAAGCAACCTGCAAACCGCTAATTCAGCCTCTTGCATGTATGTACTGTGTCAATTGTTTCACACCCCCCCCCCAACTCACACAGGACCACCATTGTCTTCTTGGCATCATTCCTCATCCCTGGCTGCCAGTCCTGAGCTCCTTAATTAGACCTACCTACCATATCAGGGGTCTTTTTCCCAGTTCCTTGTCCTTTCCTACCACCTGTCTCTTTCCAGATAGCACCCTCCATGCTCATACTCCCTTGTCACATACACTGCTGCTTCCCTCAGCCTGTCATCCCCACTGGTTCCCGCATATTGCTTGAATTCCCTGGGCACTAAATCACAGGCCCTTCCTCCCTCCTCTAATTTGACCCTTCTCCAATCTACTTCTTCACTCCCTCCCACCAGTTTGGCCCTTGTCCCCACAGGAATCAAGCCAGGAAATTTCTCCACGGTGTTGCATTGCGGGACAGGTAACGCAGAAATACATCTGACAGCTCCAGATGCAAGAAAATTGTTTTCAGTTCTGGTGCCCAAACTCAAGCACCAGAAACACCAGTTACACAGATGATGTGGTGGCTACCAGGACAGTAAGAGATAGCATACTTACAGGATTTAACTGATAAAGTTTGAGGAAATCTCTCCTGAGAGAGATATTTCAGCATCACGAATGGGCTTATTGTGGGCATGCCTTTAAAAGAAAGAGAACAACACATCTCTGGCATGGTGACCATACTGATAGCAATTATCAAGTCTTTGCTTCAAGAGTTTCTCAGACAAAAGTTTTCTGGGTTTCTTTTTCTTTGACAGCCAATTTTTTTCCTTGCTTCACTTTTGGAAATAACTGGACTGTTTTGAACGAAACTTTGTGAAATAATGTAACTCATCACAGAGTTCAAAACTTGATGACTGGCAAACCTACAAACAGACCAAGCAACTTCAGTAGCGGAAACACCTAGCACCTTCTGTTCAGGAAAATCCCACAAGCTTTTCAGACTGAATTTATAGCTATTTCCTCAAAGATTTTTTTTAAGAAGTCAGTATTATTCTGAACTAGTTCTTGGGCATGGAGCTGTAGTGATAAACAAACTTTCTTCCTCTGAAAAGTAATGCACAAAATATTCTGTGTGGTTTTAAGGGAAATTGTGGCATATTTTAGCCAGTTCTTTTCTTCCCTGTGACCTCCATTCCTTTCCCCTTTTAGTAATTAAACCTTTCAAGTGGTAACTTGATGTTAATCCGTGATTCAGACAAGGACACTACTTTCTCACAGCTTAGTCTTCATTTGTTCCCCAAAATGGTTAGTATATTTTGAAGTGCCTTTATATGCTATGGGAAAACTGCGTATACACAAGAACACAATTTTGCATGTTCACATACAAGGAACAGCAGGTCACTGTTCAACCAATCAACATTCAGTAGCTACTTGACTATCAGTGCTAAATCAGTGTCGAAAGTTTAAAGCATATGACATTATAGACAGCCTTCTGAAAAATCTTTTTATTGACCTGTAAAAATTTCAGACATACCAGTTTTGATTATGCATAGAAAATAAGATTTCATATGCACTGTATTTAAAGATCATCCAGAATTATTTTTTTAAAACTGTATGTACAACCTGTCATGATTAACTTGTAAACTCATCAGTAACAATAAAATTACCACAATGTCTTTATTTTTAATAAATGTTTAACTTATCGAGGTTGTTGAGGAAAGGTGTTTTTAACATGAGGATACAAACCAAAGAACTGCTATAACTTGACTTTGAAATCTGTTCCTACAGAAGGTTTTTGTTCTTTGATATGGAACCTACAAGAGACTGAACATCTTATACATGGTATAATATGATATGTATGAGAGAGAGAGATATATGATATATATTGATATATACGGTGGCTGCCTACCTGTGCTAACAAAAATATTCAACATACCGAAGAAACAAAAATAAAACAAAAACCTTGCTTAACCAGCACTTCTGTAACACATCTCCATGAAGGAGAATATAAAGAGATTATATACATGTGCAACACTGGATTAATTTCTTCATTCCCAGCTGATAGGCAGATTAGTGATAAGCATAGCAGAAAGATATATACACAAATATGGTGCACAGAATTTTGCAGAACTAGACCCTTCTTTCTCTACATTTAGTACAAAACTAACAAATATGTCTGTTCATTAACAAGCGTTCACAGAGATGTGAGCAGTTAACCCCTCAATGCTCATAGTCTAAATATTGTGACTGTAATGAAAAATGCATCCTTGCAGCATCTTCAGTATCAGATTCAAGAGGTTAATTAATAAAATGCGTCAGGCATGCTATCCTTTGCTAATGGGGGTGGCTATCTGTTGTACTCCGTGAGTCTGCTCACACACCTCATGCAAGAAGGGAAACAGTTTTTAGAACAGCTTTCTGAATACAGACATGAAATCACAAACATATTTCACATTAGAAAAAAATGTCGATTAATACCAGAAGACAAAAAAAGTCTGTTTAGAATCCACTGGTGATGTGAAAATAACTCGTTCAGCTTTTTCACTCAGAGGGAATTTTGATAGTTAGAGTGAAAACCTGATCCTGTTTAATATGAATTTTATTACTGACTTTTGTGGCAGAGGATTTTAGATTAATGCCAGAAATAAGATTTCAAGCCTTCAGCCTAAACTCTGCATAAGGCCAACAATTGCTCACAGTGGAGCTACTGGAGTCATGAGCTTAATCACCTTTGTTTGGACACAAGCAGTAAACAGCTCCCAGCTCCCTCCCAATAATCTAACAGAGTAAAAACTAATGATTGTAATCAAAGCAAAATAAACTATGAAACTGAAGACTGATTGTAAAATCTCTTCTGTTTAAATCACAAGCTTTCAGGTAAGCCACTAGTGTATTGTCAGGAGTCTCCACCAGAGTATCTCCAGTTTTGTTGCAGTTGTACCTTGCCACAGAACACTAGATAAACCTCAAACAACCATGCTTTAAAGTGGCTTAAAGTACTGGATATGCCCAGTGCACTTCTTTCGCTGCAGGCAAATCATAACATGTTCTGCGGAATAGACTGTTAAATTTCAAATAGAAAATCACTACTTTCATTTTTAGCTTGCTTGAAATGTACTTGGTTATATCCATTTTTTGAAGCCAAAATGATTCATCTCCGATCTGTGGAGAATACAAGACTTTTGGCAGCATTACTTTTGTTTACATTAAATACAGCTTACCATGTGATTTGGGCATGATCCTATTCACACTGAAATCCAAAGGCAAAAAAACCCTTTTGTTTGAAGACAAGAGGCTCAGATCCTTCAGTTTCGATCTGATTAGTTGAGGATAAAATAATATGATCTACTTAGAGTAAAACTAGCAGC